TATATAAAATCTTCTCTGCATATGCGTTTTTACCGTTCTTGTTATTAGTTTGAAATGCGACGTGAGCTCCTCTTTTATTCGTTGAAAACTGGGCTCCAGGAAGAATCTGTCCAGATGACATGATTTAACTCATTTTTTGATGGACTCCATGATGTCTGCCTTTTTATAAGCACTCTGGTGTTTTTTGCCATACCTTCAGGTGAACAGTTGTGGAACAGATTCTTTTTTTGAAACATACTCAACATTGGTTTAACATGTAACGTGTTTGCCTACACACACACACCAATATTTAGTCTCCTTTTTTTCTGGTCTCATCTTTGTCTTTCAACATCTTTGGTTTTCACATTTCCATCGGAAACATGACAATAAATAAATGTGCATTTTTGTTTAGAATACCAACACTTAGGTTTATCTTAGAAGCTCTCATATTTTCATAATGCCATGTTAGCAGCTTACTGTAATGTCCCACTGTAACAATATCTGTATCTGTAAAATACTTACATCACATAATTGTTGATTTTCAGTGAAAAAATGCAAAATAGGGAAACAGTTTAAACAAAACAACATGTGGTGAATAAACTTTTCTTGTGCAAAGAAGTAAATAAGACGATATAAGATGGTGGATCCCCCCCCCTCCCCCCCCAAAAAAAAAGATGGTGGATCCAGACAAATGTTAGCGTAGCATTTTGAGAGAAAGCAGCTTGTCTAACTCTGTCGTTGTAATACAAATCAGCATTTAAACTAATTAAAAACCCTTGATGCTTTTGTCTGTTAGCAAAATGCGTTTACAGTCAAAGGGATTTAAAAAAGAACATTAAACAGAAGCTGTTATCTTTAGACGATGAAACCAAAAGTAACGCCAAAGTTCATGCTCAATAATCCAGGTAGAAATCCAACAATGTTCAGTCGGGTCGTCTGGACGGTTTCATTTTTTTTCTGAGACGTTTTGAGTTTCTGAGACCACATCAACTCTGTGGATAAATACATCAAGTTCACACGAGAAGATGTAAAAAATGGCAGGCTGGCTTTCTTGGACTGTGAGGTCTCAGTCTCTGATAGAGGACATTTGCAAACTGAGGTGTACCGCAAACCCACCCACACAGACCAGTATTTGCAGTTTGACTCCCATCACCCTTTGGAGCACAAGTTAGGAGTCATCAGGACTCTGTACCACAGAGCAGACAGCATCCCCACCATAGGCGTCGCAACAATTATATGTGAAGGGGACACATAAAAAAAAAACGTTAATTTGGACCCCCTCACTTTTACTATGAAACATTAGTTCAGGCGGCGCAGTTTCTCTTTCTTCGTGAACAAATCCATTCCACTTGATTAATAGAATACTCAAACTACTAAAACTCCACTCCAGGTTTTCTTGGTTACCTCCAACTCTCCACCGTCCCTTTCTGCCTCTTGCCTCGGCAGAAAACGCGCACAGGTGGAGGAGGTGGAGGTACCTGTGTTACTCGCTCGCCAGTTTAGCAGCTTAGTGCGGGCAGTTGTTGACCAGGGGGTTGATCATAAACATATATTCATGTTAGGAGGATGCTTGAGAGGAGTGCTACGTCTGTAGCATGTTGGCTTAGCAGTAACTGTGACGCTGTAAGACGCTGCAGGTGTAAGAGACGCTGTGTGTTCTGGTGCATTAAAGTTGAAATGTCTTTTAAACCCCACAACTTATTCTATCTAAAAAAGTTAAATCTGGTCCTCTGGACATTCAAAAAAAAAAAACAACAAAAAAAACAAACAAAGCAAAACAACAAAAAAATGTAGAAACGTTTCGTCTCTCATCCGAGAGACTTCCTCAGTCTGAGGAGCTGTATTCAGCTCAGTCTCTTAAATAGCACCTTCTCAGAGTGGATCAACCAGTTTTGCTGCTGACAACCAAAACCAGCTGATCACATGCTCAAGAATGACCATCAGCCTAACAATGGATCATTAGCACACTGATGGCTGTTTACTGTTCACAGAGGGCTGAGTGATACTAGCAATCACAGCATTGTAAGAGGGGGACAGTTGAACACGAAGGCCTCCACCCCTGTTTAATGATGGACGGTTTCTTTTCACAAAGATGGCCTCCTTTACTCCTCTCTCAAACCATCGTTCCTCTCTATCCCACACCTTATTGTCCTCAAGCTTCACGAGAAACATAATTTAGATGAGTAGTGTTGAACACAAGTAAAAAAAGTCCAGTGGTGACGTTTTTTATTTCTCTATAAAGACAAATAGTGACGACCTGACGCTGCATGTTAAAGTGTATTAAAGTTAAAATGTCTTTAAAACCCACAGATGAATTTACACGAACTTGGTGAGAAACATGTTTTAAATGTGTGGAATTAAAGGAAATCTAGGTGAAATGCTGCTTTTTTGTTCACTAGTGAACACCTTTTTTACGTGCGCACACACGCGCACGCACACACACACACCTACACACATCATTGTGTCCCCCCCACATTATGGATGCTTCTGACGCCCTTGGTCCCCACTAGCTCAGGAGCCAGGCAGAAGGAGAAATCCCACACAAGACAGGCTCTAGAGCAATGTGGATATCCTAACTGGGCCTTCCTGAAAGCAGAGAAGAAACCCAAACAGGACTCCAGTCAGCCAACAGGTGAAAAGGAGGAACCCAGACCCAGACCAGTGGTCATTCCGTATGTTGAGGGAGTATCAGAGAAACTGAGACGTTTATTTTCTAAACATAACGTCCCAGTGGTTTTTAAACCCCAAAATACATTACGGCAAAGACTGGTTCATCCCAAAGATCCAGTCCCCCGGCACAAACAGAGTAATGTTGTGTATGCTGTTCAGTGTCAGGAGGGCTGTGATCAGTCTTACATCGGGGAAACTAAACAGCCACTGGCCAAAAGGATGGACCAGCACAGAAGATCAACATCATCAGGCCAGGACTCTGTGGTCTACACTCATCTCCAGGCCAGCGGTCACTCTTTCAGGGATGAAGATGTTCACATCCTGGACAGAGAGGAACGATGGTTTGAGAGAGGAGTAAAGGAGGCCATCTTTGTGAAAAGAAATCGTCCATCATTAAACAGGGGTGGAGGCCTCCGGGTTCAACTGTCCCCCTCTTACAATGCTGTGATTGCTAGTATCACTCAACCTCCTGTGAATAGTGAACAGCCATCAGTGTGCTAATGATCCATTGTTAGGCTGATGGTCCTTCTTGATCATGTGATCAGCTGGTTTTGGTTGTCAGCAGCAAAACTGGTTGCTCCGCTCTGAGAAGGTGCTATTTAAGAGACTGAGCTGAATACAGCACCTCAAATTGAAGTTTTTTGGATGAAAGAGGAAACGTTTCTACTTTTTTTTTTTTTTTTTTGAATGTCCAGAGGACCAGACTTAGCTTTTAAAGAGTTCTGGTTGTTTATTGTAGAGTCTAAACTTAGATAAGCTGAGCTAAAAAAGCTACTAGCTTAGCCTCAATATCAAATACAAACCTGGTTTTAATTTTGTCATTTACAGGAATTAATTCAGTTGTTTTTCTTAAATGACCTCCACATGTGCTGTGATTGCAGGTTGCTGAGATGTACTCTAAAGTGTGCAAACCTGGAAAGAAGAAGAGAGCCATGCCAGGATCTCCCCCGGCTAACCTTGGCTTTCGGACCTTAGGACGAGGGGACCGGGACCGAGACGGGGGTTTCAGCGTGGTGGTCAAACCTCAGACGTGGGCCCCCCAGGAGAGCAAAGCGATGGGTAGGTCCCTGGATGACCACTGCTATGAGTCCATCGGCACAGAGGAGTGTGATCCGGCCTTTGACAACGTGGAGGGAGGTGGGGGCTGGAAGCGAGAGAGACCCCCCAACACATGTGCCACATTGCGGCCGAGGAGGAAAAAAGCCCAGCAGCCCTTGCAGCAGCAGCATCCTCCTCCACCACCGCCAACCCAGCAGACCCCCAAGTTACAACACCTGCCCGCCAAAGCCCTGCTGCTGCCAGGAGAGAACCTGTACGAGAGTATCGGCGACTTGAAGCAGGGCTCCGCCACGTCCAGCACCACCACCATCTTTACGTTCAATGATGGCATGGAGATGTACGTAACAGGGCTCTGAGGCAGCAGCAGCACTGTGACTCTCACCTTTTTCTTCCAGCACAAGGAGCTGAGCTAACACCACACAGAGTGACTGCTGGGCCCCTGTCATGCTCCCCCCATTCATACTGTTTACATTGAAGTCCTAACATCAAGCCTTTCACAGGCTCCAGAGGCCTTGGGGTAGTCATGTTGATTCGTTTTGACTTGGGCTGAATACAAAGTCCTCAACCTTAATGGAATCCAAAGGTAGTGAACAATAAATGAGCACAAAAATATTGCAGAGCAATCTGTAGGTAACAGTAGCACTTCAGTTTTACTGCTTCTTATGTGCAAAGCACAAGAAAGTTAAACACCTAAATTCTTCCTCAATTTTAGCGAGTAAAAGTAATCCTACACTTGGTCCAGAGTGGACCTCTTCTTAAAGGGATCTCTGACTACTTGCACATATTGCCCTTAATACATTTTTATTTCCTGAATGGCACAATGACGCAGAAGTTAAAGCTACCGCCTATCAGTGAGAAGGTTGATGATTCAAATGCTGGCTGGGAGCCTTTCTGGGTGGAGTTTGCATGTTCTCTCTGTGCATGCTTGGGTTTTCTCCAGGTATGCCGGTTTCCTCCCACAGAACAAAATCATGTATGTTAGGCTGATTGGTAACTCTAAATTGTCCTTAGGTGTGAGTGAGGAGTGAATGTTTGTTTGTCTCATTTTTCTCTATGTGTCCCTGTGATGGACCAAAGACCTGTCCAGTTCTCCCTGTGATTGCATCACAATTACATTACATTAGCAATGCACTGCAATGAAATTAGTTCCGGAGCTAACAATATAATGATTAGCTCCGGAGGTAACGCTAAAAATTTTAGCTCCAAAACTAACTCTATAAATATTAGCTCCGGAGCTAACTAATAATATCTCAACAACAGCCCAAAATATCAAAGAAATTAAAAAGGAGGCACCATAGATGCATTCCCGTCTCCTTGCCGGCTGTGCGCAATTGCCAAACCACTGAAATCTTGGGAATGGTGGAAAACACCGCTTGTGACAGCAGAAGGACTGGGATAGTCCCCTGGCATCTGCAGCCGGTTGTCCGCAGCGACGAGGAGCTTGGCAGACTGCTGGGAGGAGTGGTCATCACTCTGGGAGGAATTCAGCCCGGCATTCGGGCGGTCCTGCAGCCCAGGGGAACCAAGAGGCCAGCCGAGTCTAGGTGGACGGATTGAACGGCATCTGCAGCCAATTTCTTTGAATCCGCTGTGGGCTGGACCTTTACAAGAGATCCTTCATGTCTACAGCCATCAGCATCTATAACATCTCTTAATAAAATGAGGATAACGAATTACAACAACATTTAATTTCCCTTTGGGATTAATAAAGTATTTCTGAATTTGAACTGAACTCTAACAATATTAGCTCCAGAGCTAACGCTTTAAATATCAGCTCCAGAAATAA